AGCCACCAAGGCAGCCACCAAGGCAGCCACCAAGGCAGCCACCAAGGCAGCCACGAAGGCAGCCACCAGGGCAGCCACCAAAGCAGCCACCAAGGCAGCCATCAAGGCAGCCACCAAGGCAGCCACCAAGGCAGCCACCAAGGCAGCCACCAAGGCAGCCACCAAGGCAGCCACCAAGGCAGCCACCAAGGCAGTCACCAAGGCAGCCACCAAGGCAGCCACCAAGGCAGCCACCAATGGATTAACCGGAAGGTTGGATGGTCCTTGTCGATTTTACGGACGAACAACTTAACAAACTAATACTATGTTATGGAATTATTTAATGCTGTTTTCTTAACTTATTTAAAGGGATGAACTAGGGTATAATTGATTTCTATAAATTAGGATAGCATTGATTTCTATAAACTAGGATATCATCATTCTCTATAAACTAGGATATCATCGCTTTCTAGGAGTTAACTAGGTCATCTGATTTCTAAGAACTAGCACATCCTTCATTTTAGGGCTGATTGTTGAGTCAAAATTTACCTAAAAATATCAAGACGACACGACTGATCTCTACGGTGTAATCCAATGCGACTGTGTATGTCATGTTGGCCACAGATGGGGAGCAGGTGGTGACGTCATTGTCTTGGATGGGGAACTCAGTTACTCTGGTGGTATAGGCATGGTTGGTGTCAGCTGTGGAAATATATAGAATCTATGTTTATATAGGAATGGTTGGTGTCAGACTGTGGAAATATATAGAATCTATGTTTATATAGGCCTGGTTGGTGTCAGCTGTGGGAATATATAGAATCTATGTTTATATAGGAATGGTTGGTGTCAGCTGTGGGAATATATAGAATCTATGTTTATATAGGCATGGTTGGTGTCAGAATGTGGAAATATATAGAATCTATGTTGATATAGGAATGGTTGGTGTCAGCTGTGGGAATATATAGAATCTATGTTGATATAGGCATGGTTGGTGTCAGAATGTGGAAATATATAGAATCTATGTTTATATAGGCATGGTTGGTGTCAGCTGTGGGAATATATAGAATCTATGTTGATATAGGCATGGTTGGTGTCAGCTGTGGGAATATATAGAATCTATGTTTATATAGGAATGGTTGGTGTCAGAATGTGGAAATTTATAGAATCTATGTTGATATATGCATATAGTGCTTAACCAACATAGTTCAAGTTAAATGACATAGTTCAAATTAAATGATATAATTCAAATTAAATGACATAGTTCAAATATTTGATGACAGTAGAAGCTAACAATGTCATTTCATTTTCTCCATCATCAATGATAAAAACTAAGCGTTGTTTGTCACTGTCAGTAATATGTCTTGTATGTCAATACTATGTCTGGTATGTCAATATTATTTCTTGTATGTCATTACTATGTCTTGTATGTCATCACTATCTCTTGTATGCCATTAATATGTCTTGTATGTACACACCATGTCCTCTATGCCATTTTCAATATGTCTTGCATGTCATTGTCAAGAGCTAGTGTGCCAACTTACCAGAACAGACCAATGTTGGACTTGACCACTGCCGTGTGGCCAAACAGACGATAGACCCGTCTCCCTGGATGTAGTGGTAGCCACGAGCACAGACAAACAGAGCCTCGCCTCCAGTCTTGTAGCCTGTGAGCATGGTCAGATTCCAGCCTCTCTCGTGATGAGGCTCCCCGCAACCATCTGTCGGACAGTCACTTAAGTTAGTGATTTAATGTATTGCTTCATCATCTGGCCCAAAAGGTGGGGCCACTTACTTTCATCATCTGGCCAAAAAGGTGGGGCCACTTACTTTCATCATCTGGCCAAAAAGGTGGGGCCACTTACCTTCATAATCTGGCCCACAAAGTGGGACCACTTACTTTTATCATCTGGCCCATAAGGTGGTACGACTTACTTTCATCATCTGGCCCATAAGGTGGTACGACTTACTTTCATCATCTGGCCCACAAGGTGGGACCACTTACTTTTATCATCTGGCCCATAAGGTGTTACGACTTACTTTCATCATCTGGCCCACAAGGTCAGACCACTTACTTTCACATTCTGTTCCATGTGGGACCCCTTACCTTCATATTCTGTTCCATGTGAGACCACTTACCTTCATATTCTGTTCCATTTGGGACCCCTTACCTTCATATTCTGTTCTACGTGGGACCCCTTACCTTCATATTCTGTTCCATGTGAGACCACTTACCTTCACATTCTGTCCATGTGGGACCCCTTACCTTCATATTCTGTTCCACGTGAGACCCCTTACCTTCATATTCTGTCCCAGTATACGTTATCCCACACACAAACAGATTCCTGGCCCTGGATGAGCTGACAGACATCCTCAAGTGTGTCCCGTGCACTCCTGTTCTGAAATAGAGAATTTTTTTTATAGCATCTCGTTGGTGAATCAATCACAGGTTACTCAATCACCCGTGGCTCAATCACAGGTGACCCAAGCGTCTGTCACAGGTGGGACCAGAGGCGTAACTAGAATAAATGTCGCCCGGGGTGAACACCCGTCACTGAGCCCTCCCCAAAATATAAATGTAGTCAGAACGGCGCCGCTTATGACAAGACCAAGTCATGGCATTTCAAATGTCACTGCCATGCAACAACATCTCATTCCTTAGCATTCAGTTACACACGTCTGAGCGTCAGCTCAAGGCGCCATTTACGGAAAGTACGTAAATATTGGACATAACATTGAATTGTATGTTGTATGTTAACACAGTAAACTGTAGAATGTCCGTAAAAACGAAGAATTTCCATAAAGCTTTTTTTTTTAGCGAAACAAATCTAGTATTCTTCACATTTGTGACTAAATAAATAGAACAAAGTGTGACGTCATGTTGCACTTTGACAAGGAAATAACAAGCATGTCTTACATAGTTTAATCAAGAGGGTATTCCTAGGGAGATGTTATAGTTACAACGCAATATTTTACATTGGGCGCCAAATGTTAGAAAGTCTTACAGTACTGGAACAGTTCTTTTGATTGAATTTTCTTGGTGTGGAATTCTTGTTGAAGACAAAGAAAAATGAAATGAGTTTGTAATAATTCCAATAATATTCATTGATTGAAGGATTTTGTACAATTGAAACTCACTGTGAGGATGGACATTTCATTGTAATGTTGGTGTCGGCAGAAGACGTGAAGAACTTCGTCTGACCACATGTCTGGCTGGTTCCTGATGTCTGATCGGTGACGTTCACGTTGACGTAGAAATCAGCTTTGGAGATTTCAAGGAGGATATGTTTGGCTTTACTGGACACTTCTATGCATTCACTCAAACATTTTTGTGGATTCACTTTACCCTTCCATGGATTCACTCAAACCTTTTTGTGGATTCACTTTACCCTTCCATGGATTCACTCAAACCTTTTTGTGGATTCACTTTACCCTTCCATGGATTCACTCAAACCTTTTTGTGGATTCACTTTACCCTTCCATGGATTCACTCAACATTTCCATGGAATCACTCAAACCTGCGATAGATTCACTCAACCCTTCAACTGATTAACCCAACACTTTCATGGATTCACTCAACCCCTTTCAAGGATTCCCTCAACCCCTTCCAAGGATTCACTCAACCATTTCCAAGGATTCAATCAGCCCCTTCCAAGGATTCACTCAACCACTTCCAAGGATTCAATCAGCCCCTTCCAATGATTCACTCAACCACTTCCAAGGATTCAATCAGCCCCTTCCAAGGATTCACTCAACCACTTCCAAGGATTCAATCAGCCCCTTCCAATGATTCACTCAACCACTTCCAAGGATTCAATCAGCCCCTTCCAAGGATTCACTCAACCACTTCCAAGGATTCACTCAACCACTTCCAAGGATTCCCTCAACTCCTTCCAAGGATTCACTCAACCCCTTCCAAGGATTCACTCAACCACTTCCAAGGATTCCCTCAACTCCTTCCAAGGATTCACTCAACCCCTTCCAAGGATTCACTCAACCACTTCCAAGGAGTCATTCAACCACTTCCAAGGATTCATTCAACCCCAGGAAATATATTTCCCCTCTCTTTTCCAATTATTCCGACTTATAAAATTTAAAGGCATATAATAATTTTATATATTTTCTTGTATCCTTTAAGAATATTAAGAGATGTATAATCAGTAAGATCTTCTGAACATCTTACGAATGCACCCAGTGACCTGACATATGCTATTTATTGATCATTTGAATTCGAAACCGTACCAGAAAGATGACCATTTGGGCGTCACGATAACTCGGACAGAGATAGGCTATTCTCGACTTGGAGACCTGGTCTAAGTCCAAGCGTCCAAGTCTGGGTGAGTGTCGCAAATGCTTGGTGTCGGGACCGGGTACACTTATTAAAATTAGTTTTTTTTTTAAAATTTTGTCAATGGCATAAAGTTGCCAGGTGTGCTAACACTTACAAGTGCCTGAGTAAAGCCATAGATGGCGGAGTGAATTGTGATGTTTCTAGAGTGAACTTACGGCAAACTGTGATGTTGCAGAACTCCCAGACTGTTGAAAGGCTCGTTGTAAAGCACCAAGGCCTGTCCCGATACGAGCCCCCTTTCTTCGGATTCCGGCAATAGTTCCGGACGCTGGAGAAGTTCGCGTCCGGAAAGTCTGTGGTGCTGAGGTCGTTGTAGGTGTGGTGGTGTGGCGTCGTGTCCGCCCAGGGTTGACATGTCAGCCCTGACGTCGTGACATTGATTGTACCGACATAACTCGTACCATACTGTACCGGGCTCGGACTTGCCAGGACGCACTCTGACGCTACGAAAAAACACAAAATGTACGTCCTTACTTACGAGATCTTGTCAAATACAATGTGGTGCACTCATTGGAAGATCCTAGTGTGAAGCTATACTGACGGCGTCCAATACTGACACATTTTGTTTGTGCTTAGATAAGTACAAAAATACAGGATGAATAGAATCAAAGCTGATGACGTAATGGGCTAGAAACATCCATTTGAAATAACGCTGGTGTTACAGGCTATTAAATGATCATCTGTAAGTATCGATACTTCCTAGAATATGAACAAACAAAACTATTCAGAATACAATGTAGAAATGTGTTACAGGCTATTAAATAATCATCTGTAAGTATCGATACTTCCTAGAATATGAACAAACAAAACTATTCAGAATACAATGTAGAAATGTGTTACAGGCTATTAAATAATCATCTGTAAGTATCGATACTTCCTAGAATATGTACACACAAAACTATTCAGAATACAATGTAGAAATGTTTCATTTTTCAACACTAAGCATGTTTCCAAACTTTACAGCAGTCGATGGTCAAACTTTACAGCAGTCGATGGTCAAACGTTACAGCAGTCGATGGTCAAACTTTACAGCAGTCGATGGTCAAACGTTACAGCAGTCGATGGTCAAACTTTACAGCAGTCGATGGTCAAACGTTACAGCAGTCGATGGTCAAACGTTACAGCAGTCGATGGTCAAACTTTACAGCAGTCGATGGTCAAACTTTACAGCAGTCGATGGTCAAACTTTACAGCAGTCGATGGTCAAACTTTACAGCAGTCGATGGTCAAACTTTACAGCAGTCGATGGTTCAGCGGCGTTTTTTTGGTTTCTCAACTCAAGTGTCATGAGTAATGCAACACAATGCTATTCGATGTTAACTGGCAGCTGATTGAAAAGCTCTATTTCGTGTCCGAGTAGTGATACATAGATGTAAATATGGAGAGTAAGGAACTTATATGAGCAGCCATATTGTCTAGAACAGTGGTTCTCAACCTTCCTAATGCCGCGACCCTTTAGTACAGTTTCTCATGCTGTGGTGTCCTCCCAACCATACAATTATTTTCGTTGCTACTTCATAAATTTGTGTTTTTCCGATGGTCTTAGACGACCCATGTGTAAGGGTCGTTCAAACCCCAAAGGGGTCACGACACACAGGTTGAGAACCGCTGGTCTAGAAGGAAGAAGGTTTTGTGATAATTAGGTTTCATGTCATCTTCAAAAAAGAAAATCATATAAAAGGCCAAAACTGTATGCAATCACCATTCCATTATTCACCAGATGTGAACCTTATTTTGTCTGGCGGTATAGATAAATGAATAAGTAATATGTGCATTCTTGGACTTCGTGTTATTACAGGTGTGAGAAATAATTAGCAGTTAACTCCTCCTGATATTTACTGAAGGTAACAGTGATATCACTAGAGGAAGGGCGGTTACGAGTACTTACACGGCCACAAGTACTTACAGGTATCGATACTTTCAAGTCTGAATACTACTGAAATTATTTCCATTGGTTTTGTGTCGTTTCTGAAGGGGAACTCCAGAATGGCTTCCTTCATGTCTCCCGATACACCGACCTGGAGGCACGATTGGTTTAGCTCCAGCAGTCTGGCCTGACCCGTGCCCAGCACTAGTGGTGGAGATGTCGAGTTGACTGGGATCGTCGCCACGTCTGTGATGGTAGATGGGTGGAAGATGTCCACGGTCGGGCCGATGGGATCTGAAATGAAGGCAGTAATGTGAGTTTAATCTAATCCAGAAATGGATTAAGACAAGATGGGTGTTACGCTCCTGGAAGAAGTTGAGGCAGCATCGTGGCTCTACCCATTAGTGGCTCTACCCATTAGTGGTTCTACCCATTAGTGGTTCTACCCATTAGTGGTTCTACCTATTAGTGGTTCTACCTATTAGTGGTTCTACCTATTAGTGGTTCTACCTATTAGTGGTTCTACCTATTAGTGGTTCTACCTATTAGTGGTTCTACCTATTAGTGGTTCTACCATTAGTGGTTCTACCTATTAGTGGTTCTACCTATTAGTGGTTCTACCTATTAGTGGTTCTACCTATTAGTGGTTCTACCTATTAGTGGTTCTACCTATTAGTGGTTCTACCTATTAGTGGTTCTACCCATTAGTGGTTCTACCTATTAGTGGTTCTATCCAATAGTGGCTCAAACTATGAGGATATGATCTACAGGTCTTTAGTTCTTGGTAGCAGTTAAGTTAATACATTCTAGAATCCTAGAACTTACTATTACATCCATAACCTTATTAATAGAGCCTAGTTCTTACTAATACATCCATCTACTTAACAATACATCCATCTACTTACAAATTCAACCATCTACTTACTAATACATCAATAAACTTACTAATACATCCAACTATTTACTAATACATCCATATACTTACTAATACATCCATAAACTTACTAATACATCCATATACTTACTAATACATCCATAAACTTACTAATACATCCATATACTTACTAAATTATCCAACTAGAAAAACAAACAACTTACTAAAACAAAATGGCGAAGGGGTCATCCAGTAGCCTATGTCCTCCTGACAAGGCATCATAATATACTGGGAGCCGGTGGAGACAAGTGGAGCCTGACATTGATATAAGGCAAACCTTACTCCATTGCTCTTGACATAGCTGCTCACTGTAGCTCCACTTACCAGCGGTGGCTGCCCACAGGTTACTGGGGGAGGAACATAGATTAGGTACATAGAGTAGTATAGTAGCTCACGTTCCCATCTGTCACATGTCCAATTTCCCATGCACCTTTGTAACATATCTAATTATCCTATGGCAGGCAATATGTCACAAATCTAATAATCCCATGCCCATTTGTCACATATCCAATCGTCTCATGCCCATTTGTCACATATCCAATTGCCTCATACACATTTTTCACTTTTCCAATTGTCTTTTTTCCCATCATGTTATGCACAATTGTCATCTTGCCCAATTATGTTATGCACAATTGTCATCTTGTCCAATTATGTTAGCACAATTGTCATCTTGTCCAATTATGTCATGTACAATTGTCATATTGTTGAATTATGTCATTCAAAATTGTCATCTTGTCCAATTATGTAATGTACAATTGTCATCTTGTCCAATTATGTCGTCTTGTCCAATTATGTCATGTACTATGTCATATTGTCCAATTATGTCATCGTGTCCAATTATGTCATGTACAATTGGCATATTTTCCAATTATGTCATCTTGTCCAATTTTGTCATGTACAATTGTCATATTGTCCAATTAGGCCATCTTGTCCAATTATGTCATGTACAATTGTCATATTGTTTAATTATGTCATGTACAATTGTCATCTTGTATAATTATGTCATATTGTCCAATTATGTCATATTGTCCAATTATGTCTTATTGTCCAATTATGTCATATTGTCCAAATATTTTCTGCACAATTGTCATCATCTCCAACCTTCCCATGTGCATTGTTCGCTTAACACACATAGAATGGGTCTTGGAATGCTGGGAAACAAAAGACCAACATAAATTAAGTAACAGAGTTGGAATTAGAAATACGATTACATCCAAGTCATCTATTGGCATTTATCTCATTGAATTATTGTTTCTTAGGTAAATATTACTTGCTTCCCGACATTGCCCCATACCCCAGCACGATTTCCAGCTAAAGAAATAAAATAGAAAATGTTCAAACTTTGAATATATTACCCCCATTAAAATTGATTTACATGAGTTTAAAAAACAACAACTAATAAAAACTACGTTGAAATGTAATAAAATTCAGACACAAATGTCGATTGATGTGTTCTAAACACATTGATCTCCGAGAAACCGGAAACTGATGTCAGCCGCCAATAAACAATTGGCTGTCATAAATCAAGAACAGCAGATGTCAGCATCACCCTGTTTAGTACATCAACTTGTTGACATCATTGATCACTGACATAGAATGTCAATTATAATAATTGTACGCATGCCATTTCCGTTGTCATTGCCACATTCTGAGATATGAATTGGGTCGATATCCAACCCTATTTTGTGTTTCATTATGATTTATTGCAGCGTTTCCCAAACTTGTAAGTTTCACGGACCGGTGGACAAGTTTCACGGACCGGTGGACAAGTTTCACGGACCGGTGGACAAGTTTCACGGACCGGTGGACAAGTTTCACGGACCGGTGGACAAGTTTCACGGACCGGTGGACAAGTTTCACGGACCGGTGGACAAGTTTCACGGACCGGTGGACAAGTTTCACGGACCGGTGGACAAGTTTCACGGACCGATGGACAAGTTTCACGGACCGGTGGACAAGTTTCACGGACCGGTGGACACGTTTCAAAACTGCACCAGGTACCGGTGCCATTTATTCATGACATTTTCTTTCTATTTAAACATCAATATTCAAGCTCTCTGGACCGGTGACGTAAGGCTTGCGGACCGGTGCCGGTCCACGGACCACCGTTTGGGGAACGCTGATTTATTGGACTGAGTTGTATTATTGCATGGAATATGGTGTTTTAAAGAATGAGCTGTTGGAATATGGAATATTATAGAATGATCTGTTCGAAATATGCCGTATGTTAGCTTGAGCATTTGGAATATGTTGTATTATAGAATGTGCCGTTGCAATATGTTTTACTATAAAATGAGCTGTTGGAATACACGACTATGTGTTTTATTTGATATTTTTGGAATGTGTTGTTAAATTGTCGATTAGAATGTGCATTGCATTGTGTAACAAATGATCTATTGGATAATTTTTTATTAAGTTAATTTATGTTCATACAAAGGGTTGTTATAATGATCTTAGCACATATGTTTGTCCATGTGATTGGGTCCGTATTTTAAAGTAAAACATTCATGTGAATTTCTCAATTTGATTTTCTGCCCACTGTTGACAATCCTGGTGGGCCGTTTAAACATTTCAGTTTACTTCTCATCAGTCAGTCTGATGCTATATAGGTCAACCTTATGCCACAGGTCAATCAAATTTCACCATTTAGGTCAATCCTCTGTGACGATGTATGTCAAACAGGTATGAAGACACAGGTCAATCGGGTGTGATGACATATGTCAATCATGTATGGCGAGAAAAGTTCATTCGGGTGTGGCGACAAAAGGTCAATCAGGTATGAAGACACAGTTCAGTCAGGTGTGACGACATATGTCAAACATTGTCAAAAGTTGATTCACTTTTCCACCGTTTATTTCCGCACCCTTATTTCTTACCTTTAATTTCGCACTCTTACTTTCACTTCAGCTACTTCATCAACGGTACTTTCTTTATTTACTTTCACTTCAGCTACTTCATCAACGGTACTTTCTTTATTTACTTTCACTTCAGCTACTTCATCAACGGTACTTTCTTTATTTACTTTCACTTCAGCTACTTTATCAACGGTACTTTCTTTATTTACTTTCACTTCAGCTACTTCATCAACGGTACTTTCTTTATTTACTTTCACTTCAGCTACTTCATCAACGGTACTTTCTTTATTTACTTTCACTTCAGCTACTTCATCAACGGTACTTTCTTTATTTACTTTCACTTCAGCTACTTTATCAACGGTACTTTCTTTATTTACGTTCGTTTACGTTACGTTTAAGTGGCACTTCTAGTGCTGCCCACAGATACTACTTACCAGCTAAGTGCTATTTCTTATTTTTATTTTTATAACCCTTTTTTCTGTTGTTTTGTTCGCTGACGAAGGCTTTCTGCCGACACGTTCGTTGTTTTGTTGCGTTTATTTTTTCAGGTTTAACCCTACTCTGTTTTACTCATTTTATTTAGCAACGGTACTTTCTTTATTTACTTTCTCCTCTGTTACCTTCTCCCACTTCTTGTAGATACTGTAATGGTGTATGTCAATCACATTTCCATATCGGCGATGGCCTACTCCAGGTTCCAAGGTTACTTACATTCACATAAAGGCGCTTGTCCACTCCAGGTTCCATTGGACAAGCAGGTCAGCGAGCTGTTGCCGCTGGCTAGCTGGTAGCCCTGGAGACAAGCGTAGACAACTAGGCCTGGGATTGAGTACCTGTAAGCATTAGCCACGGGTGCTGGTTCCTGGCAGGTAGGGGCGTTGACTAGCAGGGCATCTGTCATGATGAAAGATTGATAGCTTTATTAAAATAATGTTGTAGAGATATTAATACCATGGACTACTGCCACTTACTTATACCATAGAGATACTAACGTTATAGAGATACTAACTTTATAGAGATACTAACACCATAGAGATACTAATGCTATAGAGATACTAATACTATAGAGATACTAACACTATAGAGATACTAACGCTATTTCAAGAATTCCTGCTATATGACGAACTCCAACAGAAGTTGGTGGAACTGACGTTTGCTATTCAATAACAGTAGTGGGTGGGGCGGTGTGACACATCAATTCCCCCCCCCCCAACCGCTTACCCACGCCATGGAACAGTCCAGCTAACAATTGTTTAATCAAAAGCGATTTGGACCTAATTACCTCAGGATCTGTCTGCCATTGGTATTTTAATGAATACTTCATGTCATTTACTTAAGTAGAAGGAGATTATTGAAATCATTCCTACCCGATTGGAAGTATTTAGGCTAAGGAGATGTGAGTGTGTGCGCGCGTTGGGGGTAGCGGTGGTCTCCAGACTTTTAAAATACTCATCACAGTAAAAAATACCAGCTCCGTTTGAAAATTGTTTTTGTTGAGGCTCGATAAACAGAACACAATAATCCATGATTTAAGCCACAGGAAGCCCTCAAGGCGGCACGATCCGTTGTGGATATTGGTTGTGTCCCTTAACCTCTCCTAGTATTGTGTCGTTCCCCCATTCTTATAGATTGGCTCTATGCCCGCAGGACATGCATGGCTGCAAACACGAAGACAAAAGACCTGACAGGCTTGTAAGACGCGTGGATGTGCCCGGTTAATGTGATACAGGGCACTATTGGACTACAGCAGGGGTCCTCAAGTCATAGGACAGGTACCATAAACATGAGACTATTGGACTACAGCAGGGGTCCTCAAGTCATAGGACAGGTACCGTAAACATGAGACTATTGGACTACAGCAGGGGTCCTCAAGTCATAGGACAGGTACCGTAAACATGAGACTATTGGACTACGGCAGGTGGTCCGCAAGTCATAGGACAAATACAGTAAACATTGATTGATTTGATATTTATATCCATGCCACTTTAGCATGCTCACTGCGCTCTGGTCCTCCGAAATCTTTTTAAACAAAAAAGTTTTTAATTGTTTCTAAACTGATTTTTTATCATGTACAACTCTCCTCAAAGATTGAGGCAAACTGTTCCATAATTTTGGCGCCATCGGTTCAAAAGAGCGCACCCCGTAAGACTTTGTTCTGTGTCCATCCACTCTAGGAACACTCAGCAAGTACTGTGTTGAACACAGCAGGCTATTCAAGGATACATGTTTATAAATCAGTTCTTTGAGATATTCCGGTGCTGAGCCTTCTCTGCAGCTGTACGCCAGGGACAGACTTTTGTAGTTAATGCGCTCACTCACAAGAACCCAATGGAGATCTCGTAGAACTTGAGTGATGTGGTCAGATATTTTCATCCGCGATACAATGCGTGCTGCAGTATTTTGTATCTTTTGGAGTCTCTGAATTTGGTTCTGAGGTAAACCCCACAAACAAATATTACAGTAATCTAATCTTGACTTGATTAGAGTTACTGCTACAGCATTGGCTGTTTTCCTATTGAGTTGAGGACGCAGCTGACCCTCAAGTCATAGGACAGATAAGTAAACATGAGAATATTGGACTACAGCAGGGGGTCCACAAACGTTTTAATGAGGGGGCCGTTCACGTCCCTCATATGCTTGGGGTTAGTGCCGTGCCATCCGGATGCCAGGCACTCACAAAAAACTTATTCGTTCGTTCAATTTACAATTGCCTGCTTGGTCACCAAAAGTGTATAAAAAATACCTCTTTTTGACCTCATTCATCTTTGGCTATTTCCCATTATACGACCCCCCCCCCCCCCTGGTGTACTGGCCCCTGGTGCACACAAAATATCAAAACCGATTACCGATGTCTCCAAGACTGGGTTGACACCACAACGACCCACATATTTTATGTATTGATCCCATTAAACGACCCCCCCCCCCCTGGTGTACTGGCCCCTGGTGCACACAAAATATCAAAACCGATTACCGATGTCTCCAAGACTGGGTTGACACCACAACGACCCACATATTTTATGTATTGATGGTACACTTCCGGTTCCGCCATCACGCGCCCTGGTAATGGGTTTCAGTACTCGCCCAACTTGGTGCATTAAGATTAACGACCGGCTGCTGCTTATTTGGGGAGTAGCACCATTAGATGGTTGACGTTTTGATGTCCCCTTACTGTGGTGGTGTCACGGGATACTGTGGTGGTGTCATGGGATACTGTGGTGGTATCACGGGATGCTGTGGTGGTGTCGTGGGATACTATGGTGGTATCCCGGGATACTGAGGTGGTGTCGTGGGATACTGTGGTGGTGTCATGGGATACTTTTGTGATGTTATGGGATACCGTAGTGGTGTTTTGTGATAGTGTGGTGGTATCATGGGATACTGTGGTAGTGTCACGCTATACTGGTTTTGGAGTCTCCAACTGTGGAAGCTACTCCTACCACGTGATATGACGTCATCTTTGGATGTTAATACTTATATTTCCTTTCATTTATATACCACTGTGACACCCTACGATGACCTACATTCACGCATCGAACCTGTTTCTGTAGGTCATGCTTGACCTAATTATTTTAAGGAGGGAAAGGAGTTAGGGTTAGGGTAGTTTCTCGACACAACACTCACGTGGGCGTGATGGCAGTACCTGGTGCTGAAGCAAAAAGTCATCATGTCGATGCTGAAATAGTAGACCAATGAAACTACAGCGGTTCTCTAGCTACTCCATTCACATGGCTCCATTATTCTTTCTTCAAAACGCAAGCAATTTTTTTGAAAATAAAATTTGAAGCATTGACGATAGTTTAGAAAAAAAAAATGTACACTAAGAAAACGTTATTTAATGTAACATTAAGTGGAAAAGGCAGAAATAACTTGAAATTTCGTAATACATCTACAGATCCTCACCCCCTTCCCGGGCCGCTGGTGACACCATTGGTGCCTATGCCGACAAGCCTAAGTTTCCAACACGAGTGTTGTAGCATAACAATCACAAACAATAATTCTCTAGCTATTTATGCATAGCGGTACCCATGGGCGCCCACAGGGAGGGGCAAGGGGGGCCCTTCCCCCCCCCCCCCTGGATTGATTGGGTATTTTTTTTTTAGACAAAAATGAACAAAAAATGTATTAAAGTAAAGAGAAAATAAAGAGGAAGTAACTAAGCTGATGTCCTGTCCGTTCGTTCACCATACAAATACGCTACAGTAAATTAAAACTATATTAAAACATTACTAAACATTCCCCCCCCCTTCCCTGGAAAGTTAATCGATTTTTTTGCCCCCCACCCCTAGAAAGTTTTCTGCGGGCGCCCATGGCTGTAACACTGTGTGCAATAGGCGCGCAAACTAAAATTCCCAGAAGTTAGCGCTGATTGGGATTCTGATCCATTGTGTTCATTGATTGCATGTTTTGTCCAGCAGATTTAGTAGATGGGGACTTCACTCCTTTCCGCTGATAGTTTTTGGCGCGCTAGTTCTAATGCCAAAGAAAGCGTTCTATTGGTGCCAATTCGGCTAAATATAGACTTAACCGAAGAACGTCCACGCAGACTGATACTTTTCTTCGCACTACTTTTTTTTGGACACAGTTCGAACAGTGTGCCTCTTCCTCTTCCCATTTAATTTTATTTTAACGAGAATAAACGTAAGATGTAATATATGATTTGAAATATAGATGTATTATACGATATAATATAAGATGTAATATACGATGTAATTTAAGATATAAAATATAACAAGATATACAAAGGATTCGATTCGACTAAACTGACTTATGGTAGCAGATTAATTAATCGGAAGTCAATGACCTTTAACGTAAGTGTTCGAGGCTATTTTTCCACTGTGATAAAACTCTGCGGCACACTCTAATCTGATCACAGCGGCACGCTTCTCTGCCTCCCACCACGGTTCAAGCTCTCAGTACGTCAGCATATTCAATCTAGCTGTAGTGCAATACACGATGGTACTAAAACAAAATATACTGATTTGTCAGAGGTATTAGAATTTCGGTGGCACCCTAAATTAAACCCAGCAGCACACTTTCCCTGGTGGAACGCCACTTTTAAAGACCTTTTTTGAAGAGGAAGTTTGAGAAGCTCTCCCTGAACTCGGCTCTATGACCGAGAACAAAATGGAAACCGATCTGTTTTTGAGAAGAGTTTTGTTGATTTATTCTCTCCGTCATGTGCCAGATATATGCTAATGAGCCGCGCTGTTATGGTAATTTAACTCGAGCTTAAGTCGAACATGGAAGGGAAAAGGGGGGGGGGTTGTGTGAGTGTTAGGGAAGGGGGGAGAAAAAAAAAGGGGGGGTGGGGGTTAGTATAAAAGACTAAGGGAGATAAAAGAATGACGTCATACGTACATCAAAAAAAATATTTAAAANACACACACACACACACACACACACACTTTTACACACACACACACACACACACACACACACACACACACACACACACACACACACACACACACACGTCAAATACAGCCAGGGACTAGGAATAGCACATATTATTTAAATTGCTATATTGACATACACAAATCAATATATTATGGATTCATTATTTCTTCTGGTCAACCGTGTAATATGTCAAAGTTATTAATACATTACTTGACAACACTACCGCATAAAAACATATTTTAGCCTGCCATCTGTCTATGCCATACATTAAATATAGTCTCAGAGTAGTCTCATAACTTGCCTAGTTTATTTCAATTCTAAACAAAGCATATCGTTTTTTTCAAGCTAACAAACGAACATATTTCTAAATTATTGCCTACATTCACAGCCATGACTGCATCAAGTCACGACTGTAGAGACACACACTTAAATT